GTAAATCCCTCTCCATGAAAACCCACTTACTAAAAGCTTTCTTAATGTTTTCATTATAAGATAAATTCTAGCCGAAATAAACAGGCAAAGAGAGGCAACAAAGGGCCAGGTACTTTATTTGAACGCAATTCCTGGGCGAGGTTCACCGGTCTATGGAAATGGAGGCTGGAGAAGTCGCGCCCAGCAGGGCAGGCAGCAAGTTTTTAAAGAAGGCAGGGGGAGGGAGAGCAAAGGTATACAGTGGCCCGAGGATTGGCTCACCTAGGGTACGTGAGGGTCTCTCATTGGCCTTTAGCCAGGTACTGGAAAGTTACCACTACTATTCTAGCTTGGGGGAGGGCTCTAGTTAGGAATGTTGTCCAATCAGACTCTGAAATGTTGTCAGACTGGAACCTGTTGGTCTCTCCACCTTGTTTGGTGAGGCCTGAGCTTGTCCAGCAGGCTCACTCCTTCCCCTGGTGCCTCCAGCCTTACATTCATATAGTTTGGCAATTTCTTATTACTGCAACCATTCTATTTACATATTTTCTACTTTCTATTTTCAGTTTGCTTTTGCTATTCTATCATTGGAGAATGTTATTTTGTTGAGTTATTAGTTGAAAAAACACTAGTTGTTCTTATTTTTTCAAATTTATTTAGTTCCTATTACATGTTAGCCACTGCCCTAGCTGTTGAGGATCCGGAGATGAATGATTTGAGGGAGTCACTAAGGGAACTGACAGAAAGGTAAAACAGTTGAATTGAGTGCCTCTCCCTGCAATACTATAGGTCATTTAACTCAAATATTATTAAAAATAAATTATTATCATAGAAGCTGTTCATTTTTATGGGAAATATAAATATAGTTAAGCATAAAGAATGTGAATATTCCAAATCTGTCACCCACTTTGAATAACTTGTTAAATCTTTCCAAATACATATATATATACCCAACATTTGCATAACATATAATACATGACCATAATATACATATTATTCTTTTCACCTAATAGTGTATTGTGACTGTTTTTCCAAATCAATAAATATTTATCTTCAGGATTACTTTGAATGGCCAAATGGTATTCCAGTATATTAAAGTATTATGATTTAGTAACTGGTCACTGCTTGAAAATTTGGGCTAAAATTAACATCTTATAGCTAAATCTTTGGAAGGATACTTAGTAATTTACATAGAAAAGTTCTAAGTTTAGAATTACTGGGTCAAGTACATTACATAAACATTTTAATTGACTGCATAACATATACTTACAAAACAGTAAAGTGCATAAATCTTAAGTGTAGTTTGATAAAATTGCACAAAGTAATAGCCACTATGTATTTAGCACTCAGCTTAAAAAACATTACCAGAAACCAGGTGCCCACCATGTAAACCCTTCTGGTTTCTACCCTACTGCAAGGGTAATTCCATACAGACCTGTAACACTTACGTGAGTTTTGCTGTTTTTGAATTTTCTGTATATAAGTGGAATCAGATCATACGCATTATTTTGTGTCAGACTTCTTTTTAATACGGATGTTTTATCTTTTATTATGTACTGCCAGGTTCCTTCCAGAAAAATTATTTCAGTTTCTTTTCCAACATGCATGTCACTTTCCCCACTGCCTATGGATATTATCATTATGAAAATGTTTTCTCCAATATAACCAAGGAAAATTGTATCTGGTTGTTTCAATTTACTTTTTTTTTTTTAAGTAGGTCAAGCATTGTTTTCACATGCTTAATAAATATCCTCTGGTCTTTTTTTTAAATAAATTTCCTGCTTTGTCATGTGTTAATTTCTTTTGGCCTATTGTTTTCTTAATAATTTGTAGTACCGTAATCTACAAAGGACAACTATATATATCACAAATACTTTTAAAATTCTTTGTCTTTTAATTTTGGTAATAAAGTTTAAATTTCCCTTCTATTAAGTTTCTGTTTTATGTGTGATGCTTAAAAAGCCTTCTTCACTTCCAAAATTTATAAAGACTTGTATGTATCGGTGGGATTTCACCATTCCTTCTCTTACCTACCACTACCTACACTGATCTTGGTGATTATGTATGCATACATTGAAAACCCCACCAGATGATGTTATATTTGCCTTTCATATTTTAAAGAAATTCAGAGAAAAAGGTGGTCTTTCATTTACCCAACTATTTGTCATTTTTGTTTTTCTCCTAGTATTTTTTCTTCTGATATTTTTGATAGTTTTAATGGGAGTTATTGTCCATCAACCTAAAGAACTTCTTTTAAAATACCTTCTAAAAAGTCTGTTGGCAATGAATTCTTTCAGTTTTCCATCTCTTGGAGGTGTCTTTATTTTGCCTTCATTCCTGAAGGATATTTTTGCTGGATGTAGAATTTGAAAAGGTTCTTTTTCCTGCTCTGGTATCTTTTTTTCCCCCCCATCTGCACCTCTAATTACATGCATGTTAGAGCCATAGGTCCCTGAGGGTCTGTGTATTTCACTCCATTCTTTTTTCCTAGATTGTTCAAATTAGAGAATTTCTATTGATGTATCTTCAAATTCACTGATTTTTTTTTTTTTTCCTATGTCGTCTCCATCCTGCAATTCGGTCCAGGGAGTTTCCTGTTTCATGTATTGTATTTTCAGTTCTCAGATTTCCATATTTTTAAATAGTTTCTGTGTCTCTACCAAGAATTCCTATCTTTTGATTCATTTCAGGTGAATTGACCCATTTTTGGTACCTCATACCAGCGTAGTTATAATTCTTGCTTTAAAGCCTTTGTCTCATAGTACCAGCATCTGGGTATTTCAGAGTTGGCAACTGTTTTATTGTCTTTTCTTCTTATGAGTTGGATACATTTTGCTGGTTCTCTGTATGTTGAGTAATTTTGGATTGTATCCTGGATGGTTGTGTATGTTGTGTTGTGTGGACTATTGGTTATGTTATAACCATCTGGAGAATGTTGATGTTATCAGCAGTCAGCCCAGTTAAAGTCAAACATAAATTGTGTCAGTGGTGTCTGGGCAGACAGTAGTTCAAATCTCATTTCCATTCTCTAAATGGAATGGAATTTGTTTGTTATTCTGTTTTGGATCTTTCCTGCACATATGCAGTTTAGGGATCAGACTACTTATACAGGTTTTTCCAATCTCAGTTTAGTTTTTTAAGCCTTTACTTGTTCGTTTAGGTTTTTCCTAAGAGGTTATTCAGGATCCTAAGACTTGAACCAGTGATTCAGGTTTTACTTCAGTTCCCAGCCTTTGTTATGTTCGTTTGGATCTAACCCAAGCTGTGGGGTTCAGGGCTTAGGATGAGATTTGTGCAGGCATATAAGTAGGACTAGCTCTGTTAACTCTGTCCTCCCCGTATTTGTCACACATTCTCCATTTTTTTCAGAGTTGAAAATTATTAGTTGCATCTAAATGTAGTTTATTCAATGATTTAAAAGTATACTGATTACATAATAAGGCTAGCTATATTTAAGAAATGGAAGACTAAAAAATTAAAAATTTGTTGAGAACCTGCTATATAACAAACTTGTGCTGGGTAAGGGGCATAGAAATATGAGTTATTCATAGGCTTTGCTCTTAAATTGCAGTGTGATAGGGCTAGCTATAATATAATCTGGTAAGTATGGTAATAGTATTATATATAATAAGCACATTCATAGAGCAAATACTTATTGTGTACTACAGGCCAGGCACCTTTCTGGGCACTGAGATACAGTGGTGAACAAGATAAGCATACAGGAATAAATTTAAGAAAACAGTTGAATTAGTTTATGGAAGAGTATCAGGAAATCAAAAGAAAAAAGTTAATGTTTTAGAACTATTCTGAGTAACTACATGGTTTTCTAGAACAATCTGTAGCTGAGTACTGCATTACTTTATAATTATATTGGACAAAATAGAAAAAGTATTTATAGTATTTCAGGTCTCTAGGTATCTAAAGTATAATGAACCTCAAGGTTAAATATTGAGTTGGCTTGGACACAATCCATATTAACCCTACAGATCAATAAAACTTCACATTCTCAACACATGCTGTAGAGTACACAAATTTTAGTGATTTTTCAATAATTAGTGTCTGATTTTTAACACTTTATAAGCTTTATTTAATGCCAGTTTTAAAATTAGATTAAAGCTAGTCCTATTAGTAAAAGAAAAGAAGGAATGGTGTCATTTAAATTTTAAACAAAGAGAAATAAAAGTTATATATTCATTTGAATATGTTTCATTTCTTTTAGAGACTTTTTATACTATGATTGTAACTGTGAGTTACTTTGGAATCTCCTGTGGTTGTTTGTTTAAATATAAGTTTTATTTGAAAGCTAATTCTCATTTTTATTTTATTTTCAGAAAAAAATAGAACATTTAAAAATGTAATTGATCTCATCTCAAAAATATTCTTAGTGCTTTGCTTTAAAATGTGATGCAAATAGAAGAAATTAAATGAACTGGCTTTGTGGAAAATAGTGTATTTTAATTATTATTGTTGTATAACAAACCACCCCAAAACTTAGTGACTTGAAGTCAGAATCATTTAGATTACTGGTTTACAATTCTGCAATATGTACTGATCTTATTTACTAAAGACTTACCTATGAGTCATTCTGTTGCCCTCCTCTGGAGTCTCTCATGCTGCTGTGGTTGTCTGGAGGCTTGACTAGAGCTGGAGGGTCCAAGATGGTTTAATTCACTTGGTGGCAACATCTCAGTGGCAAAGTCTTGACCAGCATAGGACTTTTTCAAATCACCATCATGATCATTTTTCCTATAAAGCACAAACTGGTTACTTGATTAGCCTTGTTACCCTTATTATTATGTGTTTCTGTGGGGAAAAGCCAAATTATATTACTTTATTTTTACTTAAAACATCTTTTCCAGGAAAAATAGTGACTTGCCATAATTTAAGAGGTGTCTGGGTTTTGAAACGAAATCTTGACTTAAAACCATGTGTTATTTGCTGTGTCTTAAAAGACTGAATAATTCATTATGTCATGTAATTGATTTAATAATTATTTATAGTTTTTTGTTTTTTTTTTACAGGCAGTTGCTGGTTACTTCGATATATATTTTGAGAAGAATTGCCACTACAGGGTAAGTATCATGAGTTGTCTCAGTAAGAATTAATTATGTGAAATACATTGTATTTTATTTTGTGCCCCCAAGGTGTTTGATCATAAGCATTTTGCTGTTGTAAACAGTTGGAGCTTGTATTTGATGTAGTAGATTAATGTACCATGATATTAAAAATCTTGTACTTCATAAGATACTTTTGAACTCTACCAATGCAGGTCGTGTTCTCTACGGGCCCCCAGAGTACCAAAACACACTGGAAACAAACAATATTTCTACTGGAGAAGCCATTTTCAGTTAAAGCAGGTAAGAAAGGGAGGTGGTGGAGAAATGCCTTACTCATTCTGACATAAACAATATTCATTCATTCTGTGACCCCTTTTTATGTGTCCACTGTATTTCAAGCAATATAACAGATGCTAAGGTACAACTGCATAAATTTTAGATGGCATGTTCTTTCCTTAGAAAAGTAATTTTTAAAAAGTAATTGAAAGAAAATATATTTAGATCTAATTTATTTATGCCAGTTAAAAAATGTATTTGACATATTATCTCTTATTTTGAGTGTGACAAAATAATTATAAAAACTTTTCCTTGAACAATTACTAGTATTTACCAAGTTGCAAATATAACTAAAATTAAATATTTCCATTTCCTAAGTGACTAAAGAGAAATATCACCAACAGAGGTAAGGTATAAATTAAAGAGAATGTCATTCAGTAGTTATTGTGGTCAAAATATATTTCTCTAGAATGCTGTGACTCTACCTCCTCAGTTCTTAAAAAATCTTGCATAATGTTCATGATCTGGTCCAGTCCTACATTCCTTTGTTTTATATCTCATTGATCATTTATATAAGCATCTATAGTTCTTATATACCTACAATGCTTAGCTCCCAAAGTTAGAATTTGATGATAGAAACTTTGTTTTTTAATCTAAACTTATTACATAGAAGTCTTTTTGTCTCACCTTTACTGAAAGCCTCCTGACTGGAAAAGCTGCATGTACAACAAACTTCAGAGAAAAAATAACTCTACATCACTAGTAACTCAGAGGAAGGCTAATTAAAATTATAACACACTGTTTCTCATCCTTCATTATGGGAAAAAATTCATGAAATTTAACAGTGTTGAATTATTGAAATAATGTGTCCAAAGGAACCTTTATACTCTTATGCTGGTAGTCTTAATTGATACAACTTAACAGAATAGTTTGACACCATCAAGTTAAGTATAGATGTATCATCCCTGCAACCACATAATTTTTTCCCTAGGCATGTATTTTCCTACACAATATCTCCCACAACCTGTGTACAGGAAGCTTCACAACAGTATGGCTTTAGAAGTGAAAATTGGAAGTAACCTTAATGTCCATCAAGAGATGATAGATAAATATATATGATAGTTGCATACAATAAAATCTCTATAGCAGGTGAAGTAAATTATATTTTATCATATAAATTATATGTCTGTCAAAGGAACATTGAGCAAAAAAAAATTGTAGTATGACTCCTACAATATACAATTTATGTGAGGTTCTAAACCATGTAAAATAACAACACACACACACACACACACACACACACACACACACACACACACACACGAGTAAAAGTAAGAAGCAGCACCTGGTAATGACGACCGCTTAATTTGGCTTAGTGGTTACCTCTGTGAAGGAGAGTAGAGTTAGGGAAAGCTGCAAAGGGGTTTCATTGTCATATTATCTGAACTATTTCTTCTAAAAATTGAAGACTTGCAGAATGTTAAGATTCAAACAAAGCTGAGTGGTAAGTCCTAAGTGGTCATAATGTTATTCTCTATATGTTTAAAATATTTCATAAAATTCTAAAATAATTTTGGTTTCACTCGATGTATGAATTGAATTTAGTAGATGCAAATAAACACTATTTGACTAAAGCAGCATCTTGTCATTTTTTCACTTTGAGGTTTCAGTGCTATGACAATAAAACCTACATGGTGTCATTTTCTCTTTAGAAAATTTGAGCACAGCATAACTGAAATTTGGCACATACAAATACAAATTAAATCCTTTCACATCCTCACTGTTTTGTTTTTGTGTAGCTCTAGTATTTGGACTCATGTATGGAAACTTGAAAATGTTTTTTTCTGTAACCATTTTGTTGTCTTAATGCTAGAATTTTAAAGGCAGTACTAATTCATTCATGTTTTAATCTTAAGATAGCATTTGAATTTTCTTCTGCCTAATAACAACAAAATATTATTTGATATCTAGTGGAATTTTGAAATCCTATTCTTTACCCAGTAATCCTTAGAGTAATTGATTAAGCTTTTACAGAATACTGTGAATGTGTGTGATTCTAATGTTGCCTTGTGCTCCATCTGCATCCTGTATTTCTTGGACTGCCACTGTGTATCCACTTGTATTTAAGTAGTAAGGCCAATACATCACAAACTATTAGAGTCACCTAAAACAGCACAACCTGAGGAAAGATTTGAAAGGAAGATCTCAAAGTAAAAAAATGGGGTCATTCTCAGCTATGGAAAAATAAGAAAGGATTAGATAAGTGGATAAAATACTTTTTTTCCAACTCTGCTAAGTGCCTGATGGTGGTGTTGATGACTAGAAGTCAGAAGTTAGGGGCAGAGTACTGAAGAGGACAAGTTAATCAAAAAAAGAGCTCTAGAAATATACATGGCCATCCCCTTGAGTTTAGGTGAGTATTAAGATGTACATGCGTAGGATGAAAAACCTGAAATCAGGCAAAGCAGCTGGGGCAGCTGTAAGCCAAACAGTACTCAGAGTTTATACAGAGCTGTAGAATATTCAAGGCTCATCCAGTTAGAATGGGGAGTCCTTTTGGATCTATTCGGTAGAGATTCCAGAAGGACCATAGCTTAACAGTGGGCATAAACTATCCCTAGGGTAAAGGCTACTCTGCACACTCCTTAACAGAGCTTAAAAACAAGCCTTTCGAGAAAGAAAAAACAAGCCTGCAAATAGCTTTAATGACAACAGAAGGAAACACCAGTACTCAGACACTCAGCAGCATAAAATTCATGATGGCCAGCTTTCTAACATCTAATGCAGGAAAACATCGGTTGATAGAAGCAGACCCAGAAATGATGGAATTTGCATGCAAGCATGTATTATAACTACTTTTATATGAACATAGGAGAATATGAGAAGAAATTTAAAATTCAAATAGAAGAATATCTGAAGTGAAATGTCATTTGATAGAATTAATGGCAGGAGAAAAGATCAGTGAATTGTAGTTGCAGCAATAAAGTGTACCAAAAATGAAACATAGGGAGGGGAAAAAAGATTTTTTAAATGAATGTATCCACAGTAACCTTGGGAAAATTTGAAGCACTGTAACTTAAATGTGATAATAGAAGTCCCTGAAAGTAGCAGGGACAGAAAATATATTTAAAGAAATAGTAATGGCCCAGTTTTCTTACATTTGGTAATAATTTTAACCCAGATTAAAGAAACTCAGTGAATCCTAAGTGGGATCAGCACCAAAAAAAAAAACAACACCAAGACATCATAAACAAATTGCTTATAAACAGTGATACTACAAAACATATTAACATTAGTCAGAGAAAAAGAAACAAAGATACAAAGAAAAGATAACTTCAGAATACTCATCAGAAACCATGTAAACCAAACAGTAATCAAATGACATTTTAAATGTACTAAAAAATCTAGAATAAATACGTTTCAGAAATGAAGACTAAACAAAAACTTTTCCAGAAGAAAATGTTAAAAGAATTCATTGGCAGCAGTCCAACAATATAAGATATAATAAAGAAGGTTCTTCAAGTGGAAGGAAAATATCACCAAATAGAAACTTGTACCTAAAAAAAATGGAAAATGCCAGAAACAGTAAATGTGTGTGAGTATATAGAAAAGCCTTTATTTTCTCATTTTTTAATTTCTTAAAGATAATTGACTTTAAAAAAAATGGAGACATAAAGTGTATGGCAGTGATAAAGAAATTAATGAGAAAATGGAAATATATTGTGAAGTGCTTAAAATGTACACAAAGGAATTTAATGGTAAACTGTAATAAATTAAGTATGAACATTATAAACCCCAGAGCAACAGCTAAAAATTATAAAATCAATCTACAAATATAGCTAAGTAAACAAGTAGTGGATATAAAAAGGAATCCTGAAAGAAATATTCAGTTCAAAAGAAAATCTGAAAATAAACAGATGGACAAAGAGAAAACAAGTGCTATGAGGATAGACATAAATTCAAACATAGTGGTGATTATATTAAATATGAGTGGGCTATACTTCCAGCAGTGGAATATTATTCACTGCTAAAAAGAAACGAGCTATCAAGCCATGAAGAGATAGAGAGGAAACTTAAATGCATAATACTAAGTGAAAGAAGCCAATCTGAAAAGGCTACATACTGTGTGATTCGAACATGACATTCTGGAAACAGCAAAACTGTGCACACAGTGAAAACATCTGTGGTTGCCAGAGGGAGGGGATACAAATAAGTAGAGCACAGAGGTTACTTAGGACAGTGAATACAGCCTGTATGACATAATGATGGGTATTTGTCCAAACCCATATAATATGTCTATAGGTAAACTATAGACTTTTGGTGATTATGATATGTCATCAGTGTAGGTTCATCGTTGATAAAAAATGTACCCTTCTGATGAGTGATGCTGATAATAGGGGAGACTATGCATGTGTGGGGACAGAGGAATATGGGAAAATCTTTCTACATTCTCAATTTTGTTGTAAACCTAAAACTACTCTAAAAAAACAAAGTATTCAAAAAATAAATGAATGGCCTAAACATGTCGTTTAAAAGGCAGGAGTAAACTGAATAAAAGCAAGAACTAACTAAATTCTATCTACAGGAAACATTTAAATATAAAAGCACAGTAATTCCAGTTCCATATGAGATGATGTAAGCGCATTCCATCCTCTCTCTATCACTCAGTGCAGCTTTAAAACCATAATGCAATGGAAAACTTGTATGAGATCTCTGAAAAGTAAACACTATCAGGTAAATTGGAGAAGACCAGAACTCACAGTACTCCTGAAATGGTGGTAAAGTTATAATTTGTTTCCCTCCAATCCCCCAGCTTGGACACCAGACAGCATGAATCTCCAAAGAGGGTGTCAGTACAGAAAGAGCTCCCTCTAATTCTAGCATGAGGAATGGGGAAACGGTCTCTTAATTCTCAGAATGGGACAAGTCCTGTTTTCCTTTCTATATATTTTCTTCTCTTCTCTCATACCCCAGTTCCCACATAATCCCACGGTGGTAGCAGGATAACAGTGGCATCAGTGGGA